GGGGGGGGAGCCGCGGCAGGCAAGGGGCGGGAGAGCTGCGGGTCTGTGGGCCTAGTCGGCCAACTGGCCTCTCAAGGTCAAGAGTCGCTTGAGATATGTGAGACCGAGATGCTTGGGCTTCGCAGAACTGATGGGCTGGGACATCCGCCCACCCGCCCCTCCCCCTTGTCTTGGGGGTCCAGAGCAGGATCTGGCAGTGGGTAGCTCTGGTGATGACTGAGAGTGTCCTGCGCGCTGGCCCAGTGGAGGTGATGGGAGAACGTGCACCAGGTTTGGAGAGATTGAATCACCTGCTTCCCATCAACAGGATGTAACTCTAGAGCACCGTGCACTGTGCTAGGATGAGCAGGATTGACTCTTGCCCCTGCAAATGCTCACTTCGCCTGCCGCTTACCTGCAGGTTGGCTGGCCATTTGAGGAACAGGAGAAGACCCCTACTGTCATCCTTCCCACCTTTCCTAAATAAGTAAGCCTACAACTGACCAGTAGGCTGGAGGAGGAGGATCTATACAGCATTGCACAGGAACTGAGGAAAAGGGACTCTCCAAGGAGCTGCAGAATCCCTTCCCTCCCCCCCCCCCGGGGATGAGAACTGGACGCAGGCCGAGTTCACCTGCCCAGTCACAGCTCCTTAGTGCTGGGTCAGGGGCCTTAGAGCATGAGCAAGTGCTGAAAAACCAACTCTTCAAAACTCACATACACACAGCTAGAACTGCCCCCCACAGTGTAATCCCCAGTTTTGTTTTTCTTCCTTTTTTTTTTTTTTTTTTGCCATAGGGCATATGAGCTCACTGGAGAGAGACAGAAAGAAGCAGTGAGAAATCACCTTCCAGGAAGGATGGCCATGCCACAATCCCTTGTCCATTCTCCTCCTGGGATTTTGGACATGCACATACATGTGCCTGGTGTGATATATTCAAGCTGCCAGGTCCAGGACTTGAACTGCAGCTGGACGTATGGGAGTCTAGCACCATAACCACTATGCCACCTACTGACTCCTTCAGGTTCTGCCCTCTGGCCTGGAGTGGAAAGAATGGGGACAAGGAGTGGCGTGCTCACATGCTGGCCAGCAGTGCTTTTTGGTATATTACCTGGTGCTCAGTCTGGACAGGGGTCCTCTTGTCTGTTCCCTCTTTCAGCCTCAAGGGTAGGTTTCCTGACCAAGGCCAGATAGTGTGCTCAAGTGATGAACCTGAGGGTATGTGCATGTGTGTGCGAGCGAGAGAGAAGCCAGGAGAGGGCACGCTGTCCTGGTGCTCTGCCTGCAGATCTGGCCTGGTAATCTCCAGTATTTAAGGAAGTGACTTGGGAGGGACTCTTCTCCCTTGATCGGAAGGGCTGGCTGGAGTGTCCGAAGTCTCTTGGAAGTCCTGCCCTGGGCCTGTCACAGGCACCAAGCTCCTGGTCACCTTGTGGCAGGGAAGGATTCCTGAGCTCATTCGAGGCCAGCGGTGTGGGCTTGACCCCTAGCCCTGTGCCTGCTG